GGGGGATGCCAATGGATTCATGCCATTGACTTCCAGACTTCCAAGTCTCAGGGGAAGACCTGGTAGTATGAACATACTTGATAACTAGCATTGGTGCACCCGGTATTTGATGACTCCACCAATACCTCGTGAATGAAATTGTGTTGAGACTGGGGGGACCTTGATTTTGAGACTTACCAAAGTAATTCTGGTGAATTGCACATTTCTCAGCCCTCTCTTTTGGATTCGTCATGCATACTATGGAACCCGGGAAAAAAACATCCTCCCCTCCCAAGTTTGGACATTCCAAGCAAAACCGCTATCTGCTTGTGGTTCAAGACTTAAACCTGCCAGGAAAACCAATAAAAACACCCAAAGGCCCCCAACAACAGGGATTTGTGAGGTTTGGCTGATTGGACATCACTCCACTCTCTTCCACACCGCCGCGGTCCTCTTGGAGTCCCACAAAGGCGAAGCCCTCCCGCACCCGCTCGGCAGCTTTGGTGCCCAGCGACAGCGTACGTGGCGGCAGGTTGATCAATCCACCCTGAGGCGTTTCGCACATCGTTCGATGGCGAAACAGAGTCGCCCTATCCAATCCGGGTGGAGTTGAAAAGCGAGGTCTTGGAGATACTAGTGTGCGAAAAAAATATTCACATAAACACGTGGACCGTGGCGACTCATCTAAGTAGTGTGTTTATTGAATTTTGTTCGTGGTTGGCGACCTCCAAAGGCCGGTTGGTGACTTTGTCTTGGCAAAAGGGTTGTGGCAGAACACTGTGGTCTATCACGGCCAGGGTGACGGTCCAAAAGCCACGTTCCGACTCTCTAACATGACTCTCTGCCATGGATTGGCCTCTCGGAAGACTCTTCACCTTTAGACACCAGAGAGTCTTCCGCTTCCATCCTTGCTGGAGAAGTCAAGGTCCTTTTTCCAGGCAACCAGCAGTGTCAGGGGACATAGCCACTATTCTTCGGTGGTTTGGGCTTCCAGGACGTTCAAGATTTCTTCCGTAGTGGGAAGGATTGGTTCTCTGAGAGGGTCCCCATGTGCTCGGGAGGCTTCGGGCCAGAAGTATTGCAGTTCAAAAAGAAAGATTGAAATGAACCTGGGAATCCGGAATCCGCCAAAATTAATCCGGGAATCTGCCAAAAAAACATTAATGCACATGAGAAATCATTGTCCTAGGTCCTAGAGCCAGCCAGTTCTTCAGTCGCCTCACCCTCATTCACCCTCCACCAAACCGACGGAAGATCTGATTCCGGAGATTCTGGTCTTTCAGAAGCTCTCAGGTTGATCCCTAAAAGTCCTTTTCGGGCCAATTAAAGGCCATCCAAGTGTCCTAAGATTGATTGGATTGTCCATCCAAGTCTCCAAGTCTGTGCCCTTTCAGAAGTATCTTTTTTCACAAGTCTCAGACTATCCGTTTTCATTTATTTTTCGTTGTGCCACGTGGCACCCAACGATCGCTACCTACCTTCTCCCGTCACGGTCGAATCCATCGTGTCACCCAGTGACTGCTCCGGGAGCTGGTTCGAGACTGGCCAGCTGGAAGGCCATCGTCCTGAAGGTGCGGAAGGCCATTGGCCGAGTGAACGGATGGATCTTCAAGTAAGCAGGCGAGTAGTGTAGGGCCAGGTAGTCCAATCCACCAATAATGAAAATTATATAAAGAACATCAGAAGTCCAATCCACCAATGCTGTCCTAGATTGGCCAAGGTCCATGAGATTGCAGTGATTGTTTTGGCACAATGAAACACGTAACAGTCTTGTCTTGTTCCAGAAATCGTGGCTTTGTGCATCCAAACAATCTTTGCACCACACCAGTTGGTCACTTTAGATTGGAGATTGGTCTTCCCTTGCAGCACCAGGATCGTGTTTTCAATGGACTTGCCAGGGATCCAAAAAGCCAAATCTAATGTCCTACAAACAAATTCTGGACTCTAATCATAGCAAAATACTTACCTCAATAATGGTCTTACAAGGCTCAGTATCTGGTAGATACCTATTGGCAACAAAAAGACGCTGTTGATTCCTGGATCACGGGGGGAACCTGCCAACCTGAACACCCCCGGAAACCAAGCAACCATGGGTCACAGACTGTGCTGTATAGCTTTATATTCAGCCTCCAGTAAGTAGATGAAACTCTCCGCTCACCTAGCGTACCTTGCCCAAACGGGTGTTCCCATGAATATGGTGTTACTATTTTTCAGATTTTGGTTTCCAGTCTGATAAATCAAACAAACATAGAACTGGACCATGACTCTGAGGACTCCCCCAACAAAATCTGCTGTCAAACCGAAGCACAGGGTTGTCCTGTCCGCCCTAGTTCTTGGCCAGGTGGGAAACCCTGAAGGTTTGTGCTCTGTCAGAATAATTGGAGACAGTCGTTGATAAGATCGTCTCAAATCCACCGTTTTCTCCAGGACATACTCATCATCATCATCATCATCATCATCATCATCATCATCATCCCACCATCCCGGATGATTGGAATTGTTTACATAGGGATGTAACTTCTGCCAGCAGCATCTACAAAAATGGCAGCTGAAGGATCCTGCAGCAAGTGGACTCTTAAAGATCCACCAGCAGCAGTGGGAAATCGACTAGGAATGAATCCCCGTCCGAGAGACACGATGCCACCCAAACAACTTGCTAGTAGACCAAAACCTGTCTAAACACAAAAAAAACTTCCCCGGGCCATTCTAAACAATCAACCCATCCTTCCCCCCATCTTTCTGGACTTCCCACACCCCCACACCCCCACACATCTGTGGAGTGTTTGAGTCTCAAGCATCCCCTTCCAAAGCTCTGCAAACTCCAAGACAGGAAAGCCATGATTGGATGTGTCCTTGACAA